TCAAACATTAGAAATTATCATATATGCCTTTAAAATTATGCTCCAGATGCTTAATTTTTATTAACTTTAGGATAGAAACATACTCAAAGTTCTCATTTGTATTTATTATAAAATTGCAACATAGAAAGTGGTGTATCTGACTTACTTAAGTATGCATACATGTGATCTTTGGTGCCTGATCTTGTATAGATGCTGAGTACTTTGTAAATTGAAACTGACAGACCAGAAAACCATACTGCCTCTTCCCCTATGGGATTCTCCTTTGGAGAGCTGGAGTTTCTTGGTTAGCTTTGCCTTTGTCCTACCAGAGCCATTGCATTGGTCATAGTGAAGCTTGGAAAAGATGGATTCACGGTACTAGAAAAACAGCTTGACACATGCTTTATTTTGAGTGAACCTTCATAATTGATTTGGTACTTCTGTAAAAGCAAGCATGCTCGTCAGCTCTGGTAAGACATGGGGTGCTGTAATGAAAAGAGAGCTCTGGCCTTTGAATCTAGTCATCTGGATTCTAGTCTTAGCTCTTTTTGACCCTCAGCAGTGTTATTTATCCTTGTTAGGTTTTCTGTCAAATATTAATAGTTACCTTGGCTTACACCATCTGCGATCTCTTCCACCTCTAAATCCTCAAGACAGTAGAGCAGATATGGGTATGATGCTGACTATTGGCATGTTGATGCTCTTATTTTAGGCATTTTACGCCCCATATCCCTATTTTTATTTTAGCAGTTAGTTGCTTTAGGGAATATATGTGTGTGTATGTGTATATATAGAGTATTCTAAATTTAAATGAGAATAAAATATTTTACAACTGTCCTCTTAGGCCAGCACAGTCTGTTACAGAAGGTTCTGTAGGATCTATTCTTAATTTTTGAAGTGAGGGGAAAATTTCCTTTTCATTTTTATGATGTTAAGACTCTAATCAATCTAAAATAGGTACATTATCCTAATTGTATTCCATGCTGCTTTAAAGTTTTCAGAATTCTTTTAAGCAACATTTTTCCCTTTGATGGTGATCTTTTTAAATATTCAGTTTTTTTCCTTCAGGCTGTTGTGCTAGGAAAACTGATTCTTTAAGTTTAAAGCTATTATTTCTTGAGTCATATCTTGATACCTACAGTATCTGTGCTTTATGGCCTCTCCTTCCTTTATTTGAAGAGTCCCAATATTAAATCAGTTTTCAGAGAGGAACCAAAAGCAGGCAGACAATTATAAACATATTTCACTCTGGATGTCGTTGTTTTTTGCCAATAAAGTGTGCAAATGAGTTGCAAAATGCATTCAGTTGTGGGCTAGAAATATTCAAGATTATATTGCTATTTATCTCTGAGAAGCAAATCTTTCTTGGGTTTTTTACATGTTAGATCTATTTATTTGTCACATTGTGGGAAGAAATGTTGAAAGGTTGCAAGGAAAGATAAGGAGTAGATGAAGGTGGTCAAGAGGCTACTGAGAAAGTGAATTTTTGGCAAAGTTTTGAAAGTAAATGTGCAATGATAGGGAAAAAAGGATGTTTCCTAAAATAACCTAGACTTTTAAAAAATTAGGTTTCTTTATTAATCTTTGGTATCTTGTATGTTAAACCATGGGATTAAATAAACTTAGTATCATTGGTTGCCTACAATTTAAAGGTTTAGAAACCAAGATTTGGGTAATAAGTTGTTTCCTGTCTCTAAATGTATTGTTGGAGCATATTACTTAGTTCTAGATACTGTAATTGATACTGAGCATCTCTCTCTTGGCATCAGGAGTTTGAAGTTGTGGGAAACAAGGTAAATGTGAAAGGTTCAGAGTATAAAATGTAATCTAATTGAATATATATATTTTATGTCTTATTTCTTAATAATTGAAAATGGTTGACTTGGTGCAAGCATGGTTACTTAGTTGCTATGTCGATTTCTGTGTTATAAGTGGACATTTAATAGGCAGATATCCTTTATTACTTATGTTTGAGATATAGGAAAAGCAGAGACCTAGATGGAAATAAAAATAAACTTTACTTATATGTCACAAGCATTTATTTTCTCTGATTTACTTTTTCCTAAAGTAATTACTTTTAAACTGTTGACAGCATAGATTTGAAAATGCATTTACAACAGTGATTATCCCTAAGCAGCATAATGTATCATCTGTCCTTTTTATTTGACTTTATTCATATGTCTTCTACAGATGGGGGAGGTAAAATAAAGCGCCGTATATTTGTAAGGAAGGCATTTTACTTTCCTTTTGCAAACTATTTTCCACCTTTATTACAAGATAGTTTTTCTGTTGAGTTCTTCTCTTTGAGGGCCTTTTCATTTCCTTCGTTTAAGTACTGAGATTGTGGAGGTTTTTTGTTTTACCTTTGCCTTGCTATTCTCTCACAGTGATAAGAGTTATACCAACTTTCCCTCTGGTACATTTAATACATATGATATTAGAGAGTTGTCTGGAACTACTCACGTAGACATGAAATTTTACTCGAATAAGTATTTATTTGAGCATTGAATTAGATGTCTATGATGCCCTGTCTTCCACTCTCTGCTCAGTAAACTAATAGTGTTGTCTCTAAACTGTTTCTGACTCATCTAAAGGTTAATGTAGCAGAAAATAAAATTTATCTTCAATTTTACCTTGTTGGTGGAATCATTTGGGGGTTGAATGTAATTATCTGACATATTCTGAACATCTTTTGGGGAATAATGCTTAATCTACATTTATCTGTATTATTGAGAAGATACAGGGAAAAGTCAATAGTATAGATTATGTTTCTCACATTTGAATTGAACCTGATATGAACACCTGATACAACTTATATAGTGTTATCCTTAGTGGACACTCAGTAAATACTCCTTCATTAAGTAAGGAGACGGGTTCTGTATTCAGCTCTGCCACTTAATAGGCAGTTTTCCTTCTTCTGTACACACTCTTTTAGAACTCAACTGGTTTGCATCTCACTAAGACAAATTAGAGGGCCAAATAATACAATGGGTCAAAATACTGAGTGTTTTCATATATATGGAACCTAAAGAGATAGCACTGATGAATTTACTCTCAGGGCGGCGAAGGAGAAACAGACATCGAGAACAGACCTATAGACACGGGGGTAGGAGAGGGGGGAGAAGGGGAGATGAATGGAGAGAGTTGACAGAAATTTACAGTACAGCGTGTGAAACAGATAGCCGGTGGGGATTGCTGCGTGACTCAGGGAGGTCAAGCAGGGCCTCTGTGACCGGGTGGGGTGGGGAGGGAGGGGACGTGGGGGTACCTACGGCTGCTTCTTGTTGATGCATGACAGGAAACCACAACATTCTGTAAAGCAATTAAGCTTCAATTAAAAAATTAAAAACGAAAACACAGCACTTTAAAGAAAAACAGCTGGCACTGGCATGGTGTGCTACTCTGAAGTGGGGATGACGAGACCTGATACGGAGATGCCGCTTTGGGATAAAAGTGGCCAGATTGGGTGAAGAGAGATCATGATTTAATCCAGGTGTCAAACCAGAGACATTTTGCAGCAAGAAATGGTTCTGTCATCTGGGAATATAGACTGGTATAGGACGTAGAGATTGCCTAGGGGCTAGAGTCATTTTATTTCTTTTATGAATAACCCAAATATCATTTGGCCCTGGGCCAGTGAGGGAGTGGTTAATTTCTGGGATTCTTTAGAATCATTTTGAGAGTAATTTCTTTTAATTATTAGTCTTCCTGTAATTAAATATAGAACATCGAATTTTGACATACACCCTCTGCTTCCTACCCACTGTCATTTATTTCAAACCCACTCTTACCCAATACTCCATGGAGTCTCCGCTTTCTTTTTACCTGTTCTTCCATCTGTTTAAGAACTTCTCACCTATGGCACTGTATAAGATAGGAGTGTCTCTGTATGTCAGTTTGCGACCAGTGCTCATATGCCAGGTAAGTGTCTGGATGTAAAGAAGCTGCTTCAGACTCACTCTAGCATTACGATAGCACTACTGCTTTTCTCTAAGGAGCCATGCTGCCCCTGAGAGCAAAAAATGGAGTGGACTCTTAACCCTCCTTTTTCTTCTCCTCTTGAACTGAAACTGGAGTGTTGCAGTTCTCCTTGTAGTTGGAAGTTTCTCCCTTGGCGCAGTATCAAGGGTCGCTGGTTCAGTTCTCGTCCCTCCAGAAAGTAAAGCACTACCCACCTCTCTCCCTCATCCCTTTCTAAATCAGCTTCAGTATTTGAGTTTCAGAGAAAGGTGTTCACAGTTCCTAGACTCAAGTCCAGAACAGGTTGCTAGAGGAAGCTTTTCTGGGGTCGGGTGTCCTGTGGGTCTCATGGTCTGGCTGCTCTTCCCTGGACACCATAGAGCAGTCTCTCCGTCTGCGAGATCTCTCAGTTCCTGCCCTTGGGCCTCATGTGACCCTGAGATTCAGGCCACTGCAGTCATTTGGCTTCTCCTAGAATCTCACCCTCTTTCATGGCATCCTTCAACTGTTTATTTTTCTATTTTAACTTTTTAATGTTTTTTGGTACACCACATCTTAGTCGCTGCACACGGGGTCTTTTAAGTTGCCACATGCAGTATCTTTATTGCAACATGTGAACTTAGTTGGAGCATGCAGGATCTAGTTCCCTAACCAGGGATCGAACCCAGGTCCTGTGCATTGGGAGCATGGAGTCTTAGCCACTGAACCACCAGGCAAGTCCCTCCTTTGACTCTTTTCAAATCCTGCCACTACTGACTGATGGAACACTTACTACTGTTTCTCTAGGTAATTTTAAAAATCCTCCTTTGGAGGAGACAGATTGAATGAAAAAGAGGTACTAACTTTCCCTGGAAGATTTGAGTAGAACCACCTGATGTCTTCATTTGCTTTTGTAGATCTAAAATAAAATAGGTTAGAGGAATTTCAGAAGGTAAGAATTAGCCAGTAGGCCAGCTTCTAGCTATAATTTTTATGAAAGAATGAAAGAGGAATGACCAGATAACTATTAATACATCTTTTATAAATTTTGGTTTTGATGTCAGCCTTTTATTTTTCTTCAGTTGCTTTAGGTCGTAACCAGCCTTTGAAAAAGGAGAAACCTAAATGGAAAAGCGATTATCCCATGACAGATGGACAGCTGCGCAGCAAGAGAGATGAATTTTGGGATACCGCACCAGCTTTTGAAGGCCGTAAAGAGATTTGGGATGCCTTGAAGGCTGCAGCACATGCTTTTGAAAGCAATGATCATGAACTGGCACAAGCAATCATTGATGGTGCAAACATAACGTTACCACATGGTAGGTTTGGTTATCTTCCAGAACAAAGTAGAACATCATCAACTCCTTTCTAATGGCAAGAAACCAAATAGGAAGTGTTCATTTTCCTACTATGCATTATTCTAGCTGTTTTCCCTTCAGTGTAGTGAAGAGGAGCATTCCTCTTTGCTTCTTTTAGCTGGAGATAGGTTTACTGTGTGTGTGTTTTGGTCTCAAGAAAGAGAACACTCAATAAACCTGTATTTTCTTTTTTATATATATTTATTACTTATTTATTTAGCAGCAATTAGCTGTGGCATGCAGAATCTTATAGTTGTGGCATGTGGGATCTAGTTCCCTGACCAGGGATAGAACCCGGGCCCCCTGCATTAGGAGCATGGAGTCTTAGCCACTGGACCACAGGGACGTCCCTAAACCTGTATTTTCTAACTTCCATATAATCTAGTTCTCCATCAAGGTTTCCCCCTGCCCTAGTCTTCTAGAGCTTCTACTTCACTGATTTCCTGCTTGCACTAGAGAAGTAGTCTCAGATTAGATCTCAGAAGCCATAGAGTCAGTGAACTCACCTTTAGTCACTATCCTCCTTCGTCAAGGCCTGTTTCCAGCATAATGAACAAACCTAAACTTGGAAGTGAGTCTTACATATTTTTAAGGACAGTTCTATGATTGAATCCCTGAGCATTATTAGAAACCTGTCTCCTTTGCTTAGGAATGTGACTCTAAGAACCACTGTAAGCTTTGAATGTTTCCAGGAACACATATATCCTGGACACAGGCATATCTTCATGTTTAGTCTCCTGGATTAGAAACAAATTTCATGCTATACTAAGATTTAGATGTTAATTTTATATTATAATTTTGTTCTGTTTACTGTATTTATAAATTTTTCTCTTCACTTTTTCAAGTTAATATTTTTCTAAGTTGTCTCTTTTGTTCCTATATAATCCTTTGTGTAGCTTTCTATTTCTTTTTGTTGTTGTTGTTATACTTTTATTGGTTGTTTCTTTTTCAGTATCCTCCTATTTTTTCTCCCCCACCTCACCTCCCTAGGAATCTTTAGTAAAAGAGAAAAGATTCATATGATCTGAAGAGAAAGACAGCGATGGATCAGTATCTTCCTTTATTTGTCTACGTTTTGAAAGGAGCACTGCTTTCCACTGTTTAATTCTTTGCTTTATGTCCTTTGCTGCTGCTCCTCAGTCGCTTTAGTTGTGTCCTTTCTTTGTCAAGTAAAGGATGTTGAACTTAGTAGCCTTCCAGTTTTCCAAATCTCCATTATTTTTTGAATTAACTGCATGTCTAAGAAACTTTAAAAAATATATATATATTCCATAGCTATCTTCTTATTTTATTAATGAAAGCTTATTAGCATGGTCTTGGGTTAGTAACATTGGCACCCACTATATATAGATCACTTTTTCTACACAGGTATAAAAATGATCCCTTCTACTTTTGAAAAATTTATAATAGAATGCTATTTCAGTATGACTCTTTAGTTGGTATTTTCATGGATAATCTCTGAATTCTTTACCTCTTACGTGACTGAGGTAGACATCATTTTGCTCCATTACTTTTTTTAGTTCTATAATTTGTCTTCAGATACTATCTTTATATAATATAAAGGGAAGGGCTTTCCTTTATAAGTAGTTTTATCATTCTTCTCTTTTTAATGCTTGTGAGTGAGGGGGTGAAAGCTGCTCAGGCCTATCTGACTCTTTGTGGCCCCGTGGACAGCACAGTGCATGGAATTCTCCAGACCGGACACTGGAGTGGGCAGCCTTTCCCTGCTGCAGGGGCTCTTCCCAACCCAGGGTCGAACCCAGCTCTCTCTCACTGCAGGCGGATTCTCTACCAGCTGAGCCACCAGGAAGCCTATCCCTTCTCTAGCGGATCCTCCCAACCCAGCAATCAAACCATGGTCTTCTGCATTGCAGGTGGATTCTTTACCACCTGAGCTATCAGGGAAGCCCTTATATTCTATTTAAAGCAGAATATATTTGTATTTCTAAGGCCTACAAGTGAAGTTGGGGGTGTTGTTTATCTGTGGCTGTCTTAATTTAGAAGCTCAAGACCCAGAAACTTAGAACTTTAACTTCCTTACTTTCATAGTTACCTACTGGAAAATCTGACTTCGTTCAATAAATTATGGCCTAGTTTACAAGTTCATGGAGGCATCACAGCTCTGTTTTATTTAAGGCGGGGCCTACACATATGGGCTCAATCTCTAAAAACTCAAGTCTCTCACTTCTGCTTTTATCTGTGTGACTGAAGAGTGATGATCCTGGCAACTCCAGCAACTGACAGATTAAGAAGTATTCTTGGAAATTTGAGAATATTAGATGAGCTTCTACTCTTCCCCTCTATGTTAAGGAATGTTTTCTGCTTTAGCATGAAAGATTCAAATAGACTTTCTCAAGCTTTCTGTTTGAAAGTTCTATAATAACTTCCTATGTATTATTATCATTGGTACCCTTGATTGATTTCCCTTGTTCATATCTGAAACTTACCAATAATGTTTCTTGAATGGACTTTTAAATTATATTTTGCCATGTACTCTAACTCACCATCAGTTTATAGCTTAGTTACTTAGTTAGATGTTTTTACCTAGACCTCCTCAGTGGTATTGGTGAAATCCCTTCCATCTTTTAGATGTAATTATGTAATTGAAATTTTATCTTTGACATGTTTTGTTGTGTTAAACCCTAAAATCCTGAAGTATTCAATACTTCATATTTTGAGTTTAAAATATTGCATTGGCTTTAGCTCAGGCTTTGGTATGAGACCTAGCCTTATTTCTTGTCTTTACTGTATTACTTATAGCTATGTGCCTTTGGGCAAATCACTTCTTTAAGCTTCAGTTCTCTCATCTATAAAATATGGATTGTAAGTACCTTCCTTGTAAGGTGGTTGTATTGATTAAATGTGGTAATAACACATGTAAGTTGCTTACCCTGGTCCAAAACACACTTAATAAATAGTAGTGCTGATGATTGTAGTTCTTGAACTCTGACATTAACAAGTAAATTCCTTGCACCAAAATCTTAAATTATAGATTTCAGTCATTTTCTGGATGTAATATTTACTGGTGACATCTTTCGTTGGTTTTTAAGGTATCCTTCTCTTGGGCATATGCCTGATGGAATTTTGAGGTTAACGTTGATTCAGTGCAACAGCAGTAATAGATTTGTTAATTTATTAATTTCTTTGAGGACATTGTTAGCTGAGCGTCATCTCACACCTGACTCGTGCCTATCCCCTTTGTCTACAGCGGTCAGTGGTGTTCACGCACTTACTGAACTGATCATAGACTGGCAGCCTGGGGAGAGCCTAGGATATGTGCTCCTGTCTAAATTATCTCCTGTTTTGTTTTCATCTCATCCTCTCTTCTCTTCCCATAGTCTTTCTGTTATCTCAGGCTCACTCGTGTTACCTTCCCAGTGTAAGTATTATAAAAGCTCTCTAAGGCCTGAAAGCCGCATGAAAAGGTCTCTGTAAATAAGCAAGGGCTGTGCTCGTCTTGGTTTGCTGTGTTTAGTGTCAGTGTTGTGTGCATAAGAATTGTGTGTCTTTCCATGGCCTGTTTTCTTGTGTTACAAGGAAACAACAACAAACCTTTTCCCTGTATTTTCTTCTTTGTTTCTTTTTCTTACAGTGGTTCCCTTGATAACTACATGTGTTTTATCTTAATTCTAGTCAGCAGTCATATTCATTATATTCCTGCCTTGTGCAAGCATAAAGTAAGTCTATGCTTTTAAATTATCTTCCTCTGTTATTATCAGTGAGAAATCTTTAGTTTGTTTTTCTCAAAAGGCAGTAGCGATTGTGTTGAGGGAAGTTGGTGTCCTAAAACTACCTGGGGATTTTATATATGAAGGTGTGTTTTCACTGTGGAAATTATGACTCAGGTAGAGGATGGTATGAACATGTGTAATAGTGTACTGTTGTGGAAAAAGCTCCCTGGATGATTCTAATGTCTGGTTCTTCTTTTCCACAGCCTTCCCATTCTAAAGGAGCTTTATTTTTCATTATTCACACAGCATTTTTTACTCATGGTCTTAAATTTCTTAGAGCTTATTTTCTTTTTCTAGTTGAGTACTGTTTTATCACTACCTAAAATTCCCCCAAACAGATTATAGATTAAGTGGCTTGCCCAAATTAGCATAAACAGGGTGAAAAAAAAAAGGTGGTGGTTTTCATTTTCATTTTTCACAGTCTGGTTCATAGTGGTTATTCTAATATTTTCAGTGAAACGTTGTTCAGAAACAATATATGTTTATCTTGTAAAGAGGAGGATTTAATTCTGTTTCTTAAATTACTATTTAGAAGATATACAAGGATTTTAAAAATTGCCTGCTTGCCTTCCATGGAACATTCCCTACCTTCTAGAAAAGTTTTTTTTTTCTTTAGCATGTACAATTAGTATGTTTTCCAACTCCCTGCAGTTCACATGTAAAAGCTCCCTTCTTAACCATCCTTGTGTAGGAGGAGGAGCTGTTCACCTCCCCAAACACTTTTCTCATACTTAAAGACTTAACCCCAACTTTATTCTTACTGCTCTTCACTAAACATTACCAGTTCTTCAGATGAACTTTTGAAGGCCAGAACACATACCTTTTTTAATCACCTTCAAAATACAGGTGGGAAAGGAGTTGCCCATTTTCTTTTCTTTTTCCTGGTCTTTCTTACTGCAAAATATATCAAATGTGAATAAATTAAATTACATATAATGCAATTTAAGTTTTTAAAAAACCAAGGCACTTAAAAGTATCATTCATGGAGCATTTCTGTGTTTAGGGAACCAACGTGATAAAAAATCGTGGACTGAGAATCAGAAATAATAAAATACTACCAATTCATGTTTTGAATTGATATTATTTAATTTTTACCCTGTGATAATCACCTACAACAGTCCCTATTTTAAACAGATGAGAAAACCGAAGCACAAGGAAGTTATGTCATTTTTCCGAGGTAGAAGTCATGAAATTGGGTTTTAAACTCCAGTCCTAGATCTAACTAACTAA